GCGTATGGATTGGCTTCAGGTCGCTTCGGGACAATCCCAACTCCTTAAAGGTGTTGCTGTACATTACGTTGACCGAGCTGCCCGTATCGACCAAGGTTCGGTGAACAACCACATTATTGATCTCCACTCTTATCACCAGAGCGTCCCTGTGAGGACTGAGGACTGGGGGATAATCCTCGTCTGTAAAGATCAGAGGTTCTTTCTTCTTTCGCTTAGGCAGCGGTGGCCTTTGTACCTCGGCCAGGTACACCATGTTTTTCCACTTCTTCCGGGAGGATACCGAATCTCCTCCAGTGTTTCCTCCCATGATGAACCGACACCCCAGGTGTCGACGACCTTGCCTCTCCTCCTCATCTAGGTCATCACAATCTCGCCCTAGGTGCCGCCGTCCATCTTCTTGCCCCTCTCCTGCTGTGATCGCTGCCGTGGGGGCTGGCGGTCTCCTCCAGGTCCGGTTACTTGTGGACGGTCGCTCCGACCGAGGAGGTGGCCGTCTAGCGATCAGCTGATCCATCTCCTTCTTCAGCGTAACGCACTCCGACGTGTTATGGGTGCTGTTACGGTGGTACTCGCAGTATTTGGGTGCATCTTGCACACCATAGCTTTCCCGACCATGAGGAGGGGCCAGCAACGACTGTACCGCGTGGACGGGATGCCTGCTCGCATGATACCCGGTGGGGTTCGGCCCCTTACCATAATCCTTCCTTTTCTTTCCTTCTGCCACCGGTGGCCCGCTTTTCTTCTCCTTCCGGACTGGTGGCTCATCATCTTCCTCTTCCAGCGCCAGGTACTTCGCCCTGGCCAACATCTCTTGATAGGTCGAGAAAGGATTCCGTCGCAGCTCCTTACGCACATCCCCTTGGGGGAGTGTAGCTTGGAGCATGGCGATCAGGGCTTGGTCATCCGCCCCTTGGACATCCCTAGCCTCCTTCTCCCACCTATTGATGAACTCCCGGAGCTGTTCCCCCTTCCGGATCTTCACATTGAGCAAAGTGCCTTAACAAGGGGGGCTTTTGTCTCCGGCTGGATGCGAAGTGCTCCAAGAACTTGTGGGTCAGGTCGCCCCACTTATCTATCGACCCCTTGGGTAACTTGTGAAACCACTCACAAGCCTGCCCTTCTAGTGTCGCCAGGAAACACCGACACTTGATTTCTTCTGGATATGCGTACATGACCACGTTGGCCCCGAAGCGAGCGAGGTGGTCTTGGGGATCGGTCATCCCGTTGTATGCCTTGATCTAGGGAGTCTTGAAATTATCTGGGAGGGGGCAGGACATTATCCTTCTGGAGAAGGGCGTTACCTCACTGAAGACCGCCTGGCGATAGGGGTTCTGGGCATCCAGCCGCTTCTCCAGTTGTTCGTACATTTTCCACAGCTCGGCTGCGCCCTTATCCCCGACTGCCATCCGTCGCTCCTCAGACCCGACCTTGGAGGTCGCTGTGGACTCCCCTCTCTTCTCCTTGAGCGCGTCTCTCAAGTCGCCTTTTCGGGCCGACCGAGTGTTTTGCAGCCTTTCGAACGCAGAGGTCCGAGGTTTCTTCGACTTGGCATCTCCCAAACGGTCAAAAGCAGACATCCGCTCGAAGGAGGACGACTCGTCCTCTTCTTCCAGCCTGGAAAGCGCATCTGCCATTATAGCCTTCCCATTAGGCTTGGTCGCCTTCTTCTTCTGGGACCGCCTCACTTTCTTCTTTTTCCCTTGGGAGCCCGCAGGTCCAGCCTTCTCGCCTATGGGTCCCCCAGCCACATCTCCTACCACAACCTCGCGGTTGGGCGCAAGTGCGGCCAGCACCTCCTTGAATTGTTCGGCCGTGATCCCAACCCTCTGAATGAGGGCCTCAGCCTCCCCGGTGGTGATGGGGCGGTGCCGGCCTCCGGTGGCGCTGTTCTCCCCCTGTTGGGGAACTCCGGTACCTACGTTGGCGTTGCTACGTGTTTGCACCATCGTCGTCGTGGAGGATTTCTTCTGAGTATGATTCTCGAACTCTCAACAAGAGCACCAATTTGATGGACAATAAACCCACCAAATGATCCGGTTTACAAAGCGGATCGTAAGAACAAAATTAAGAACAAGAATTCGAGAATTGGATGTGTATTACTAGCTTGATTTAGCTTGAGTTCTCCCCTTTCGGGTCCCCTCTATTTATACATGAGCTCTAAACAATTAAGGTGAAGCATAACCGATGGAGTCTAGCCCGCCAAGGGCGCGATCCCCTTTTCCCGGCTCCGTAACGGTCAATCAGCTCCGTCTCCTTCTCCGGACTGACTCTGCTAGCTGCGCTTGGCCTGAGGTTAACTAGGCCCAGCTCCTTGGGCCGACCCAGCTTGAGTATTTCACAGGTGCTTGACCCGAAGTTTTTTAAATGGTTCATTTGGGCCGTCCTCTGGATATCGGCCCATCACAGACCAATTTTGACTTCATTTAAATGAGATTGCAAAAAAGCCACATGTCCAATTCTGATTGGAACAAGTGTGGAGTGTTTCAAAACACTCTCTCCACTAGGTGCACTGAAGGAAACGCCCAAAAATACACATTCATTTCTTTTTTCCCAAATCGGATCAACATGATATCCAATTTTAAATTGAATTTCATATCATTTTAATAAAACTAGTATCATATACAAGCGTTGCACGAGTCATATTTAAGTTACTAAATTATATTAACATCATTTTTGAATTTTACAAATTGGTATATAATGGAATTTTGACATTTCATTATTTTAAGTTACAAAAGTTAAATGATTTACAACTTTTGAAATATTACTTTATAATTCACATTACTCGTACAAATTTGTGAAAATACTATTTTCGTTGCATATCAAAATTTTAAAATCATTATGATTTTTTATTCGTGAAACTACAACATACAATTTTGTCCATGACAAAAATATGTTCCCTCCGTCCACAAATAAACTTTACATTACGCGTTACGATGTTTGACTGAGGTTATTTTCAAATCATTTTATATGAAAAATGGTGTAGAATTGAAAAATAAAAATTACATATTAAAAAATTATATCAAAAGATCTACAAAACTAGAGGTGACATGACTATTATTTTATCAAATGGGTGACAAAAATAGGCCAATAAAGTGAATAAAGTTTGACCATGTGAATAGTGAACGTAAAGTTTATTTGTGGACGGAGTGAGTAAATAACATATATCAAAACTCCGATTAAAAAATTTGTTATGAGTTAATTGTGTTTTTTTTTCATTTTGTCAAATTGCTACTCCGTAATAAAGTAGAGATTTGTATACTCCATAAAAAAGGAGATTTATAAAAAGAAACTATAAAAAATTTGCTGTGATTCGCTTTTACGGAAAGCAATACTTGTAATGTCTTTTTTATGTCTTTTCTTTCTATTAACAATGAAAACCATATGTTTTTCATTGAATAAAATAAACAATTATCTTACACTCGTTAGACATTTAAATATTTGTGTAACCGAGACTCGTTCTAAAATATAAAACAACACTCCTTAGATATTTAAATATTTGTGTCCATTTTTTTAAAAATGCTAGGTTTCACCATTTGCATCACCAGAATTTGAGGCAGTGATACCATTCGTTGAGACCATCAATCACCAGATAAATATGATCTGCCCACAATGTACAATTTAGCCAATTCCCTCTAAATATTACTCCCTCCGTCCCAAAAAGTCTTTCCTATTTCATTTTTTGCGCACCTCATAAAACACTTCTACCGAAATCTAAAATGCCTAAAATTTACAATATTTCTTCTTTATTGTTGGTAGAAGTTATTTTGAAAGTTTTTTTGGCATTCAAGGCGGGATAGAAGTGTTTTATGGGATGCACAAAAAATGAAACAGGAAAGACTTTTTGGGACGGAGGGAGTAAAAAATAAAAATAAAGAATTCGTGATTCTCAAAGAATTGGACCGTGTTTTTCCTGATCTAATCCTGAAGTGCATCATATCGGATCTAATTAGATTGAATTAGACCAAAAGAGATCTAATCAAATCAAATCAAATCAAATTCAAATCTATTAAGATGAGATCAAATCATCAAAAAACAATTTAATTATATAGGCCATGTCTTGTTTGCCTAATCTAATCCATAAATGCATCAGATCAGATCAAATTAGATCGAACTAGACCAAAATAGATCAAATCAAATTCAAATCCAATAAGATTAGATCTAATTTAAAAAAACAATTTACTTATGTTGGTTGTGTCTTATTTTTTTGATATAAACTTTAAATGCATCAGATCGGATCTAATTAAATCGAATCAGACCAAAATAGATCTAATCGATCGGATCAAATCAAATTCAAATCATATAAGATCAGATAGTCTTCAAAAAACAAATTTACTTGTCAAGGTTGTGTCTTATTTGCCAGATATAATCTTTAAATGCATGAGATCAGAATTTAGTTTTATATTCTTAAAGTTTATCTCCAAATCTCTACAATTTTAATTTCCCTCTTTCTAAATTCATTTCCCTCCTCTGAATTTCATTCTCTCTCTCCCTAATTTCTCTTTTCCCTTCTTTGAAAATTGTAATTCCACCAAAAAAATTCAAACCTAACTCAGTACAAAACCAACAATCTTATCTCGTACACAACCACAAATCAATTATATTCTTCATCTCCAGTCCTTCATCTTCGATTCTTTAGATGCCTCAATTCGTAACCCTAGATCCTGACCATGGAGCTCCGATCGAGGTGGAAAGCAGCAAGCAGATGTGACGACAAGCAACACAAATGAAGCCAAGTCCAGTTACAAGAATGTTTTAGAGGGTAAGAACAGAATCAGCCACCCATAGGCACAAAGCGTGACAGGGGCATCGGATTCGTCATTGTTTCCAGGCTTCAGCATCCAGCGACCCAGCAGGTATTTATTTTCGTATTACGGAGTATTCCATTTCTGAATGCTTATTATGTAATTTTATAATATTTTCAGCACCCAACTGTTTCAGATTGTGTATTGAAACAGATTATGTAATTTTATCTTTGCTTCAAACAGATGATTTTAATTTTTTGTAGATTTTGTAATAAGTAATTCCTTTAAAAAACATTCTAATATTATTTTTTTCCTTTAATATGAAACATCAGTATGCATTTTGCTAAAATCAGTATGCATTTTAACATTTACTTTCTACAATGGTTTTAACTTTACACCATATCTTGGCTTGATATTTTTATGCACCATGTGGTTTTTGGCATCTGCTAAATTACGACTCATGGTTATGTGCAGTGATAGGTGTCTCAATTTAGGGTGTATCCGATATGTTTACAATATTGTATGTACTGATCTAAAGTTTTTTTTTTTGTACTATGCATATATTGAAGAAGATATTTTGAATTAGTTATTCACTGATAGACCCTTTGTCTTACGAATAGGCTTGTAATATATATTAGCTCTTAAGAAAAAAATGTTGTATTGCCCTTTACATGCATATGATTTTGAGCTGCAAGATTAGCTTCATGTTTTGTTGGCAGGTGGTGTTTTGCCCGAGAAATCATATAATGATCATAGTTCACAGTTGGGGCTGCTGAGCATCAATTACCCTACAACTTTATTGTGTTGGGGAGATACTTGCTGTGCTGGAGAGAAATTGGATGCGTTGGGGAGTTATTTTTGCTAAAGTGCAGATAGAAGCTGCTTTTGAACTTTACCAGTTATGTTTGCCTTGCAGATTTAGGAGTTTAATTCTTTGAGTTTTATGAAGCTTTATTCAGGTGCCCGGATTATAGATGGATTATGCACTAATTTGGAACAGTTTAAATCTGAAATCCCTAGAAGGCATAGCTAAGTTTTAGTTTTTTAAAGCTTGTAATGTAGCTCGTGATCTGATACTTAACACATTTTGTGATTTTATGCTTTTGAGTTTTTAATTTGTTTTGTACTATAGCTTTGGGCATTACACAGCATGTCCTTGTATCTTTATTTTCCTCTTTTAATATAACTTTTTATTTCAAAAAAATACGTAGTACTTCGTAATATGAAAAAGAATTTGTAGCAATTAAAGTTTGCTACTAAAAATGAGCTTTTGTAGCAAAGTATAATTTGTGGCAATATAAAGTTTTTAGTGATTGTTTGCTTTTGTAGAAAAGTATTATTTGTGGCAATTCAAATTTGCTACTAAAAATGAGCTTTTGTGGCAAAGTATTATTTGTGGCAAATCATATTTTGTCACAAAAGTCATGATTTTTGTGGCAAATTTAAATTTGCCACAAATATATTTTGTAACGGGATATTTGTTGCAACCTTGTGGCAAATTTGAGAATTGCTACAAAAGTGTATTGTGGCTAATTTTTTTATGTTTTGTGGCAAAATTTGATGCCACAAAAAGTAATTTTTTTGTAGTGACATACTACTAGTAAGACATTACGGTTTCTCAAAACTTAGAAAGTAGTTCTAAGATTAATAGTCTAACTACTGTTTAAAAAAGGTATTCTTAATTGATTATAGACAACTTATAATAGATTACGGTTTCTATGAATTTTAAAAATAGTTCTACGCTATATAATTATACTATTGTTACAAGGGAGTCTTCTATTCTTATAATAAACAACTATGGAAAATAAAATGATATGAAACATACAACTAACAATAGAATACTATATCTTATAAGTTCAAAAACAGTTATAAACTGAAAAACCAGACTACTATTTAAAAATAGTATTCTTAACTAATTATTGACAACTGTGGCAACAAATACTGTATTTTTAGGTGAAACAGACTACTAATAAAAGATAACCGTTCCTCACAACTTTAAAAACAATTCTACCCTTAATTCATAGACTATTGTTACAAAAGAGTCTTCTATTCCCATTAGAAACAACGGTGGCAAAAAAACCATATGAAACAGACAACTAGCAATAGATAACTAACTATTTCTTATAAGTTTAAAAACAGTTCTAGACTAAAACACCAGACTACTGTTTAAATAGAGTATTCTTAACTTGTTTTTAACAACTGTTATAACAAAAGCTATATTTTGGACTAACACAGACAACTAGTGATAGATTACAATTTCTCGAAACTTTAAAAACAGTTTTAAAGCATAGTA